CCTTCCCCTTCCTGCCTTCTCATCTTGCTTTGGGGCAGGTGTTACCCATTTGGTCTCATATATTTGATTGAACTAAGAAGCACATTTCTCACGTGTTATTGTTGTTTTGTAGACCCGTCTAATCTTTGGCTGAAAGGTGAACGTTGGGAATGGCCTCTGTTCTGAATTAGCAGGTGTCCGGGGGCGTAGTCTCAGGGGTTCCTCCAGTCTCTGTCAGAGCAGTAAGTCTGGTCTTTTTTGTGAATATGGATTTTGTTCTACTGTTCTCACTCTGTCCAAAACCCTGTTTTGTGATCCCTGTTGTTGCTGGTAGCTGGGCACCATCTAGTTCTTCTGGGCTCAGGCTGGCAGAGGCTGTGGTTTATGTGGTCTGTTAGTCCTTTGAACTAATATTTTCCTTGTGTCTTTGGTTTTCTTCATTCTCCTTTGCTCTGGACAGGATGGGACCAATGGATGCATCTTAGATGTCCGCTCACTGCAGTCCAGTTCTTATCTGACACACATTGAGGTCGCCATGAGTCGGAATCAACAGAACTGTTTTTTGTTTTTGTTTTTTATGGACATGATGCACATCACTTATGCTCACATTTCATTAGCCTGAACTCAGGTAAATGGCCACACTTAGCTGTCAAGGAGACTAGAAAACGTAGTTTGGCTAAATGCTCGTGACGAAGAGGACACTAACGATTTCTGTCACACCTACTATATGCTGTGCTCTCAGGGAGACAAATATGTCCTCAAATGAAGGAAATGAAGTGAGATGCATTCCATAAGGAAGGGGTTAAAGTGCCTAAGAAGAAAGGAGGGAGCGATCAGATCCACTTGGGAGCAAGGGGTGTTGATCAGGGAAGACTTCACAGAAGCGGGTGATATTTGAACTAAAATTTTCTGGTAGGATTTACTCAGCAAGGAAGTCAGAATGAGCACCTCAGCAAGAATAAAGTCCTGACAATACAGTCAAAAGGCAGTATGGCACAGGGAGGCCAGATTTTAGATCTTAGGGTGAGGAAGAAGTAGTGAATGAGCCTGGGGAGTTACGCTAGATCAGACCCTAGATGCCGTGCTAAGGAGTTTGGATTTGTATGTATATGCAACAGGGAGCCCTCAGAGATGTTTTTTTAAGCAAGGAGTGACATGATCATATTTGTGTTTTCCAGAGGTACACTCATTCATTTAACAATTATTGAGTATCTCTGTGTCCTAGATACTGTATTTGCTGCTGGGGATACAAAAACAAACAAACCACAACAAACCTCATTCCTTACTCCGGTGGTAACTGCATTGGAGGGAATAGGATCAGAAGTACAAATAGGAGCCTCCTTCTTGTTTAGAGTGAAAAGAGCTGAGGCCCTGAGTGTGGGTGTTGGCAGTGACATTGGAAAGAGTGGATAGATTGCAGACATGATCTGTGGAGTGGAATCTGGTGGAGTTTCTAGTCAGAGGTGCTGCATGAGGGTAAGAGTTGAATGAAAGTGTCACAAAGATTTCCAACATGAGGGAGTGGGTGGCTGGTGAAAATAGAATTAGCAAAGAAAGTGGACCAGGTTTGAGAGGAAGATTGTGAGTTCAGTCATGGACATGACTTTGAAATATCTGTGTGGAGGTATCAGGAAGTGAGTGGAAGAATAGTTTTAAAGATCAGGAGAGGGGCTAGAGCTGGAGCCAGAGAGAAATATGGCTGTGATGGACATATGAGTTACATGTTGGACCTACTGTAGACAGCCCCAGAGCAGAACTCCAAGAAGTAAAAGGTGGATGAAAGAGAAAACAGCCAAAAAAAGTTGACAAAGAATTGTCAGAATGAGGGGCGTGTTTTAAGAAAGATGTTGTTGGTTAACTGTTTTAAAAATGGAGAAACTCTTTAACAGGATTAAACTGAGATAACCATTAGATTTGGCTGTGGCAGAGCTTTTAGGGCCTCTTACAGGAGCTGTGAGGGAAAGCTGGTGGGAACAAGAGTAGACGGTAGCTTGATTGAAGGAAGAGTAAATATTGTAGAGGATTTGTGAGGCTTGCGTGTATTCATAGTCTGAGGACAGAAAAGAGAAAGTTTGAACCTTGAGAATCAGAAAGAATCCTGAAGGAATAAGCTGTAAGCTGTAAGCTGTAAAGCACAAGTGGATGGGTTTACTTTCTGAATCAAGGTGAGCATGGAAGTTCGGAAGTAAATGGGAGTCTGGCCTGAGGTGAGGGTGTTGGTGTTTGTAGGGAGACAGCACGGTGCATGATAGGACAGGAGGAGGGGCGCCAACTCCCGGTGCCGACTAAGGGGGAGCCACGTGGACGAATCCATGTTCACCTCTAAATCTTGGGTTTTTAGTAGAGCCAGTGGTATTCATATACTGTATTTATATGCTATAAATGGAGAAAACAGTCAGATGTGCTGATAACAGATTGTTAAAACAGAAGAATGAGGGAAATGTGGCCTGGTGGCACAACGGTAAGCCCTCGGCCACTAACAGAAGGTTTGGTGGTTTGAACCCGCCCAGGGGCTCCGTGGGAGAAAGACCTGGAGATCTGCTCCCATAAAGATTACAGCATTGTAGGAAACCCTATGGGGCAGTTCTGCTCTGCATGCCACGTGCATGGAATTGAAATGGGTGTCTTGGGGTCTAGATTGGGCAGGAATGGAAACGAAGCCTGGAGGGGACTGTTAGCGTGGGAGCTGGGAAGAGCCGAGTTACTGGATGTTGTACACAGGGCTAGTGGAAGGCAGAAGTACTTTTGGTCCATGATACGCTTTAGAGTAGATCCTGCTGTGAGAACCGAAGGCGGTCACCATGAATCATAGAGCGGGGCTTACTGCTTACCGGTTGTGCTCTTTGTGTTCAATTCCACAGCCCTCCTAATGGGATTCCATACCCCGTATGTGAACCGGGATCGCGACCTGTTACAGACTATAAAACTAAGTCGTATGTGAATGACCAGGAATTCTTCCTTAATTCATATTTAAATCATAACATCAGAAAGCAGTCAGAAAGAAAAACAGAATTTTCTTCTAGATTCCCTTAATAATCAATGAGAAGTTTATCCTAATGACCTAATTTGAATAAATGAATTCCCTTCAAATGAAATCATTCAAATTTTTGTAGAGAACATACTGATTATTGGTAAAACTTTCGAATGTGTGCTTTTAAAATTAATTATTATCTATGCTATTTCAGCATTATTCAGAAGATTAAATATATGTATATACACATGCATACATACTTGGGAATCTTGATTGACAGCATAAAGCTAAATTACTTAAAATATTTAACCATAGTACAAGAGCCATTTGCAGTTTAAAAAAAATCATAAAACGATATTCCAATGAATTGTCCATGTATAGCAACAAATCAGTAAGAAAGGACAAACCCGCACAGTGAAATAGATAAATCAGATTTAGTCAGGGTAGTTTATTGAATTTAAATTGTGCCCAGTTGGCCCAAGAGCTCTATATAAGCAATCCATCTTACGCTGTTAATGGAGGTTCTTGAAATCCACCTGATGTTTGCATTATTAAATTTCTGTCTAATGAGCTCTGCTAATACATATTGAAGACGGTTGTAAGGAGTAGAATGTGAATCTGAGCGGGATAATTTGAAAGAAACATAAGCTGAGCATTTTACATGACTCAAGGGGTATATCTACAATTACACATAGAACCAAAATTGAATTTAAATGGAATTTCTATTATCCTTGTCCTTCTACCAGGGAGAATAAAGTGTAAATGAAGTATAAGTCTTCTACTGGTGGTTTGTTTTTATTATCTAATTTAATAGATTCTTGCAATGATACAGAGTGGCATAAAAGTTTTAATATTTCATGACTTTAAATGCAGCCTAAGTATGTATAAAAGCTTGTAAATGGAAACAGATGTCTGCGTAATTGGATATAGCACTTCATAACACCATTATGTAAGTTTTATATTTTAAGAAAGTGTCAATATTGATGGTAAAGAAAAATCATACTTGGAAGAAAAATAATTATGTACGTAGCATGTATTTTCTTTAAAGTCTCTTTTTAACCCAGATTCTGTGCTTCCAAATAATATGTTGATTTTGTGTAGGAAAAATACACGCAGCCAAAAACCAAAGAGTACGTGTGTTTATTTTTTAAATCACACTTTACATTGCTGTTATCCTTATAATAAAGGCTCATCCAAAGTTTGATGCTGGCACAGTTTGATTCTTTTTCTTTTGACGAGGCAATGCTTTTTTAACTTAATGTTTCATCAACTATAATGCTGTTAGAGACTTATTTTCACTTGGTTCACTCATCAGGCAGTGAAACAGCAATAAAGGGGAATCGCTCCTTGGAGACATTAATGCTTTGGAATAAATGATGTGCTAGAACAGAAATTTAATTAATTTACAGAGTCTATTGATAGTCCCTTGTTACTGTGGTGTATATTTTTCATCTTCTTGAACATCTGTAGTAGAGTGTTTGAAAACCCCTGCAGCTGAGCAACTAGTAGATAATGAAGTAATAAGGGAAGAGGCTTCTAGAGGGAAAGAGATTCTTTTTACCAAATGCTGTCATGACATGGATAAGGAACTGCTACCATGATGTGCAAGGAAAGAGAATAACATGCTGCTTAATTGGTCCTGTGCCACAGATACAGCAGCGTCCCTTACTGACAATGTGAGAAGGAGCTTAAGAACTTTCCTCCAAAGTCTAAGGTGGACGCGTTACGCGGGCACATCAGATGACCTTGAACGACCTCAGCAGCTTTTCCCAGTTGCTGTGCTATCGTTTTCAACTTACATTCTTAAAATCGTTTTCTCTTTTGTATGGGATTGTCGTGAGTTAAATTCAAAGGTTCTAAGTAAATATTCTAAATATTCTGAATAGATTCTAAAATGTGTATTTCAAGTTTTCAGCCACTTTGTTTCTTTCTTCTGACTACTTCACAAAAAAACACATAATGAATTTTTTTTTTTTTCACTTTCCCCAGTATTTTCTCTTGCAAGATGGGCATAAAATAAACGCGGAAATGTCCTTGTTGTTTGTTTCAGCGAAAGCTGGCGAGGCACTGAAGGCCAAAGAAAGAAATGAGGAAGAAGCCGAGAGAAGAAAGGAGGAAGGTAAAGGCCTGCGTCCATTTTTTTTCCCGAGCAGTCGTTATAGTTCCGATCTGTTTGGTATGGTTCTGTCCGTCCCTCGACAGACCATGGGATGTGATCAGATGCCTCAGGGGTACCTCAAGCTCCTTCATGATCCTAAGCCGTGACAATATCAAACCATATTTAAGGGCTTGGACACTAACGTTTCCTAGCATGAAGTTAGTTTATAGGCATCCTACTGTATGTTCTGGGAAACGGGGAAGATATAAAACTATAAAGTAGAGCTGGTTTATTTTGTTCTGATTTTTATCATTATAGTTAAATTAGCCAAATAAATCATAGAAGTAGATTTAACAGTGTTTTCTTAGTCATGAAAACTCCTCTTGCCAGTGAATCTTTTTTAAAAAGCTGTTAAGAAGGAATAATAAAATCTGAATGTCAGAAATATTCATAATTCAGATTAAGAAATTCACGTCTTAATTTTTATGTATTACGTGTTCTTTTCCCTTGAAAACATTTAAGCCATCCCCCCAGAAAATTATCATGTAAACAAATCTAAAACATTTTTATCTCCCCTAACAGACTTTCATTTCCCCCTTAGCTTGTTACCCGAGATTTACATGAATGAAAGTGTTGCCTTTTTCCTTCACAGAGGCTTCTTCGTGTGCTGTTGTAAATTAGAGTGCTTAAAGCAAGATGCAGGCGAATCTTGCTCAGTGAGTTAAGTGGGTGATCTGTTTGGACTGGCAATCATCTTTACTGGCTGATTAGCAGAGTAATCATTTCCTCTGTGAGCTTACAAGAAGCTGAAGCCCTGATAATTTGTGCCAGAATCCTGCCTTTGAGTGTTATTGTCTGAATCTGAAAGTTGAAGTTTTTACCTTACTACCTACCTTTTACTGTGACAACCGGAAAAAAATTGTTCTCGCAGCTTCATTTGGAAGCTGAGACCCAGTGGAACCTAAAATGTTTTGAGTGTGCTGGTTTAACATGCTTAAAGGCAGCATCCCATCAGAGCCAGGCCCCCAAAGCAAATGCAAAAAAAGTGTCTGTAGATTTAGATGGCAGAACCCTTTAAACTAAACGTGGACTGACCTGCACATGTAAATGTGTAGTGGCATACTAAAACGGACTATCACCCTGGGCTTATTTGACCCCTAGAAATTCTGACTTTATGCTCTTGTCCTGGATCGACTAATTTTATGGTGTATCAAGAAAACAAGTGAATTCCAGTGGCAAGTCTCCTCAGTAGAATTCTCTTCTTTTGACTCTAAAGTTCCCACCTTGGCATTGTTAAGTGGGAGGAGCCTGTCTGATTTTCGCTGTGCTCGTGCCGTGTACACACCGATGTTACTAGATGCGAACAGTCTAAGCAAATTATAATATTTTAGTACTGCTACATTATGCGGTATTCTGATCAATGCAACCAATAACGTAATGGCCTTTATAGAACACTGTGGTACTGTAAATCACAAGTGTAGTTCTTATTACCAGCCAACACAGTGAAAGATTATTAGCCTAATCCCATTAATTCAAATCTTAATTGAAGTCATAATCAGCTGGAAAAGGATTGCACTGATGATAACTACGGATATTGAAATTGCTGGGTGATTTATTATTGTGAACAAATGTAATATGAATGCTTGAACTATTCGAAGAAACTTTTTGAATGCTTAAGAACTTCTCGTTTACATGTTGACAATTGATATTTCTATTAGTCTTTTTTTTCATTAAATTAGTTCTAAGCATCTTTAAAAAAGATACTTTACAAATTTTCAAGTAACTATAGATACTTGAAAGTTATACTGCAGTTCTATTGAAAGTATTCCATTATTTTTACTTTTCACTAAGCCAAACTGACCTTGTACTTAGCCTGTGATTTAGAGTAACCTTTTCCATTCCAATGCCTAAGAATTGTCGGAAAACAACATTTCTCCAATCATAAACCCACTGGTATTGAGTTAGTTCCAACTCATAGCAACCCTATAGGACAGAGTAAAACTGCCGCATAGGGTTTCCAAGGAGCAGCTGATGGATTCGAACTGCTCTTAACCACTGCGCTACCAGGGCTTCCATCATAGCTGTTTCAGTTCGCATCTTTACAAGTCTGTTATCCTAGAGGGCAGACTCCAGAATTGTAGAGGCCTTAGAGTTTATATTGTTCACTGTTATGTCCATGGTGCCTAGCACATAATAGGTACTCAGTTTCCTTAATGGGTAAATGAATGATTGCATGATCAGTTTACCCTTTATTCTTCCAAACCCATGCTTAAATAGCTAAGCTTGGGCTTGCAGTTGATTCCAAATAACATCGTTGAAAATGGAGCCCATCTTTATTATGTCAGAGTCCTGGCGGTGCAGTGGTTAAAGTGCTTGGCTGCTAACCAAAATGTTAGCAGTTCAAACCCACTAGCTGCTCCCTGGGAGAAAGATGTGGCAGTCAGCTTCCATAAGGATTACAGCCTTGGAAACCCTACAGGGCAGTTCTGCTCTGTCCTACAGGGTCGCTATGAGTCGGAATCGACTTGCCGGCAGTGGGTTTTGTTATGTCCTCTTTCTAAGACAGGACCTCTGCCATTGGGCTCCTGCTCTAATGTACTGCAGCCGTGTAAAATGAATCCAGGGAATGCCCATGAGGATTTATCAGCCTAACTGAGCTCAGCGAACATAAAACATAAAAACATTACCACAAATGTTCAAGAAAAATTCAACTGGTACCGTAAACGACATGACACTTACTCCTAAAGGAAAAACCGTGTGTTTCCTTCTCGTCCAACAGATTCCTCGCTTATGTTCTGTAGGTGAGAGTGGATCACTGGCTAGTCTCTTTGTCGTCATTGTTTTGCTTCCAGAATTTTCTCTCTTGTGGGTTGTCGAGATACTTGGATGCTATCAAATTAACCTTTCCCTGAAAATGATTAATGTATAAGCTACAGGTATTTATTTCATATAATTAGCCTAGCTGCAGATTGAAACCTGAGATACATCAGTATGTGTATGTACTTCTGCAACTGAAAGAATAATAACCCTTTACTTCCAATCTGTAAGCCACTAGTAATTCACTCTGTCACATCATTTATACAATTCATCTCTTAATTTCTGAGCATGCTGATACGCAGCACAGGGTTGAAAGCATTGTTAAAATGTAGATAAATGTCGTCTACCTGGCTCCCTGTATCTACTCTCTGTTATCTCAAAAGAAGCTATTGTATTAGCATAGCAAGATCTGTGCATTGCAAATTCATTCAGACTATTATGCAGTCCTTTCCTCTGAGTGTTCTTAAATCAATATCATAATTATATTTGCAAGTATTGTATCCAAGATAAAAGTCAGGCTACACACCAGAACTTGTCCAGGGTAACTACTTTGCCTTCTACGGTGTAAATTTTGGGACCCCCATTAAGGTGCTTCTCATGGTCCTTGTATAGCTCGGTCTATTTTTCCATTTACTGAATACTGGTGATGGGCACTCTTTCTTGAACCATCTACTGTCTTCTTTCCACATCCGTTGAATTAGATAAAGCTTATCATCACTTAGTAAAGGCCAACTAAGTGTTTAAAGTTTAGGCTTATAGTTTCCTTCTTTAAAAATAAGCACTTTTTAAAAATTCTCGATTATATTTTTGGGAAAAATGAATAGTATTAAATATTTCAGTTCTGTTTTCTTTTTTCTTCTTTGACCTAATAAATGCTTGACTTTGGCTTTCTCTTTTTCCCTGTATGTGTTTGAACATGTTATAAATATACTTTTAAAATATAGAACAAAATCATTTCAATCTTTTTCCTTCATTCAGTTTCTTCATTATTGAATGCTTTAGCATAACTGCTTAGATTTTCTGTTTTATTTTTGTATTTAATATAGTATATATTTAGGGTTCTAATTGCGGCATGACGCGTAAGCACTCGGCTGCTAACCGAAAGATCAGCGATTGGAACCTGCCAGCCGCTCTTCAGGAGAAAGATGTGGCAGTCTGCTTCCATAAAGATTACAGCCTTGGAAACCCTCTGGGGCAGTTCTGCTGTGTCCTATAGGGTCACTAGGAGTTGGAATCGACTCAACGGCAATGGGTTATGTTTTAAATATATTTATAATAGTCTTTCTTTGCATTTTGACTTCTCTCTAATGTGAATTTCTCATTTGTGGTATAAGTATAGTAGCTCTTGGATTCTTTTTCCCCGTGTGTTTGTTCAAAATAGTTCTACCTATCTGTTATTTTTTTACTTCAAATATTTTTGTTTCAAAAGTGTTAGGCAGTTCACTCTAAATTATTCATGGTGATGGTGGACAGTGATAATGTGAACATAATATGAGGCAGTTCAAGGGAAGACTTGGAGCTATCCCCAAGTCTCATTTGTTCAAGTTTAAATTCATCAAATCTTTTGCCATTACTGAGTGAGAAGAAGTAAAAAATATTGGCCTTAATTTCATTGTTTGTTTTTTCAGTTAATCCTTTGGTGGAGGTGGAGGTGAAGAGTGCTAGTAGCTTAAAGGAAAAGGAGGTGCCAGGCAGTGTTCTAAATACCCTACATATTCTTACTCCCCTAATCCCCATGAACTCTAAGAGGTGTGTGTTATCATTACCCCTGTAGTACAGGGCAGACAGGAAACTAACGTACAGAGTGCTTAATAATCTGCTCTGTTTTACACAGTGGGTGGCACAGAGGGTTAATGTGTTTGGCTGCTAACTGAAAGGTTGGGGGTTCAGTGTACCCAGAGGCGCCCTGGAAGAAAGGCCTTCTGAAAACGCAGCCGTTGAAAACTCGATGGCACACAGTTCTTCTCTGACACACGGGGTTGCTGTGAGTCGGAGTCGATTTGTGGCAACTAGTCGTAGCTAAGAAGTGATGAGACCAGGATACAAGCCCAGGCAGTCGGAGTCCAGCGCACTACTCTTCCCCTTTAAACAGCCTGTATACAACCCTTAAGATCAGTGTTCAAATAGAATTTTATTCTCTCTTCCCCATCCTTTATCTTTCTCTCACCCTCACTAAGCTCCTGGCTGCTAACTGAAAGGCTGGC